TTAGGGGACATCTATACAAGTGAATTTATTATTATTTATTGTAAACAGTATCTTAGGGGACATCTATACAAGTGAATTTATTATTATTTATTGTAAACACTATCTTAGGGGACATCTATACAAGTGAATTTATTATTATTTATTGTAAACACTATCTTAGGGGACATGCGCTACACAAGAGAAATTTATCATTATTTATTATTTAAACACTATCTTAGGGGAAATGCACTACTATGCAAGTGAAATTTATTATTAGTATCATTTATTATTTAAAAATCTGACCGTCTGTTTCCTCGGAGGGCATCTGGTAGTAACTCCGTACGGCGATGAACTGGAGACTTTTGTTGATTCTCACTGTGTTGATGATGGGCATCCAGTCATTGAGTCTGGCCGCGAGCGGGACAGAGAAAGGTCAAAGGTTAAAGGCGTGATCTCAAAATACAAAATGTAAAAACTTGGTAAAGACAAGACGGATAGACAGGAAAGTTGGTATAGATAGGTAGATAAATAAAATATATGTTATAGAAAGAAAGAGGACATAAGTGAAAAATGATAATTTGAATATTAAATTTTCTTTTTATTGGTATAGATACCTAGATTTTAACTACATGCCCAGCAGAGATAAAAAGTTGAACCAAATGATGGTCTAAATAGACAGACAAGTAGAAGGAAAGAGGAGATTTTAATTTAAGTGAAAAATGAAAATCTGAATATATAAAAAAATTTTTAACTCTATAAATTTTTTTGTACATAAATTAGGTTATAAAATATCTCCAGCAACATACCCCCAGCAGAGATTTAAACAGTTTTTAAAAACCAAATTAAAAAAAACAAAAAAACCCTGACCTGATTCTGTCCCCATTGAGGTCGACGACGCCCTGTGCCAGGTGTGCCTTGACGGCGGGGAGCGGGGCGCTGTCCTGGAGGGCACACAGGTTGTCGTAGTGGTCCTCAAACTGGAACGCCCCGCGGTGCCGCGCCTGCACGCTCTCGATCATCTCGCTGGATATGGGTGCTGACCAGACGCAGCGGCACAAAAGTTACACTTTCTGTCAAAGCCTGATGATGAAAGCGATGAGAAAACTGTCACGGTAGTCACCGTATTGTACCTTACTCCTTTTTACTCACGGGACGTAAGCGCCCCGTATGCCATGGGCTCTTGGTTAATGTTACTCACTTCGGGGATCTACATAAAAAGTCAGACACTACACCCGGGCTCATGATTAGAATGCTTGCTGTCGTGTGTGTTCGTCTCTTGTTTTACAGTCGTGTGTGTAGACTAACATTACTCGATCATCTCGCTGGACGTGGGTGCTGACCAGACGCAGCGGCACAAAAGTTAACCTTTATGTCAAAGCCTGGTGATGAAAGCAATGAGAAAACGACTCGATGGATAGATTTTATTATTTAGAAGTGAGTGAGCCAACAAAGAGAGGCACATTTTTATACAGTTTTACAACTTTCATGTCATTGTATTTTTTATTACCACCCAGAATGAGAATGACCACCTTTGACTTTTCATTTCGTTTCATAAATTATAATATTTTTGCAGTCTGCTGAATTAAAGTCAACTCAAATTTGAGTCTACTGAAATAAAGTTTTATAACTCAAGTTTTTAATTTCTCCCAAGAAAGCAATTCCTCATAAAAGGAGCTGTGTATGACTAGCCACAGGCAAAGGCTTTACGTATATGTTATGTATGTATTTTAAATCATGTAGGCCTAAAATTATATTCTCAAACTCTGAATTGAGTCCAGCATGACGTCCGTTCTGACTTCCGACCCTTGTTCCTAAATGTATATCCAGCATTAATGAACATTTTTTCGATTATATATTATAAATAATAAAAACAGCAACAGAAACGTGAGCTTTAATTCCTGTTACTAGATCTAGATCTATCTAAACTGGCCCTTTCTGCATCATTAGTAAACTGTAAAAAGACAACCAAGTTGAGTTGACCTTGCAGTAGGGCCTCGATCTATCAGCTGAAGTAATTTTATTCATAAATCAGGTCCCTCGAGATGACATTCTCAGTCAGTGCCATAACAGGATGAAGTAGGTCTAGGCTTAACGATATAATTTTAAATTTGTAAATATATCAAAGTGGCTAGCTAGCCTGCCAGTCAAGCCATACTTAGGTTAGAATTATAAAGGCCCTATATTGACGGAAACTTTATTGAGTACACAGCAGGTCTCATTAATAATTATTCAGGTTTAAAATACACACGCACTGTCAGTAAATAAGGTAAGGCACCTTTTGGTTTCCTAGCTAGCTAGAGATCTAGATCTAGATCTAGGCCTATTATTGCAAACAAAATTGTCAAAAAATTTATTTTTACAATTCAGTAGGCCTTCTATTCTATTTTTTTTAACTTGTCAGTCTAGCCATCATTATCACGAACGGTTAGCCTAGCTGTCATTTTAGTACAGCTAGCCTCTTCCTACATTTTATATCATCAATTTAATTCATTGCTGGCACTGGCAGCACGTCTGCACTGCACGAAGATGACAGACTTGACTTGGTAGAAACTAGTCCAGAAGTCTAGGCCACGCTAATTTTAAAATACGAAGTGACTATTTCTCCGAACATTCGGGAAAATAAACTTGGACTCTATTTCTCCTAACAGTTTCCGTTCTCCAGTTTTGTGGGTTATTTGCGAGATTTAGGCTTCATAGAGATCTTTCATTCTCCATCCATTCTGCGAGGACTGGGAAGAAGCATTTTTTTCATCGAATTCAATTTTTCTAGAGCTTGAGATTTTTAAATGTCTGAATATTCAGATACTTCAGTTGTGGTTGGTGCAACGTTACCGTACTATACTTCATTTGAAAATACCTTCAAAAAGTACAGCGAGAAAACAAGACTGATCGAACTTGGCAATTTATATATAACCTATTTTGCATTTAGATCTAGATATCTAGATATCTAGATCTAGATCTCTAGTCACCCAGCAAAAACTAAAATCCTTCAGGTAAAAAAACGGCACTATTTCTCCGAACGTTCGGGAAAATAAAGCTGGGCACTATTTCTCCGAACACTCTGAAATCACACCCTTTC